TTAAATATTAAAAGACAAGCATATTTCCACCCAGGGAATAAGTGTTTCTTCAATATAATATTAATTGCAATTTGTACTGTTTATTTGTTCAGGAAGAAGGCAAGAAGAGTTAGCAAAGTAATTTAATATGGATTCTAGAGTCAGAAAGCAAAGATCGAAAGTCCAGCTGGAACTACTTACAACTGGAAATTCTGAGCAAATCGATTCCCTGTTTACATCTGTCCTCTAATCTCTCTCTGCATTCATTGTACTGAAGGATACTTGCACTGGAATCTCAAGGTCTGCTCTGAACAGCAATATATACAATATAAATAATCAGCATCTGACTAGCAAGGTCTTAATCAGTCACTCTTTATGACAAATACTCATTCACATCGTGGTATTTACTGGGTAACTACATGGTCTAACATAAGGATACTATGATAAGCAAAACAAACTGGGCCACAGGAATTAGTGACATATAATACAGCCAATAGAAACACATGTTTGCTTACCAGCCACAATAAGAAATTTAGTAAAAAGAAGGGTTATTCTAACAACAAAAACAAAGTTGAAAAACTGTATTTGCAATATAAAAGAGTTTCTTGGAAGATCTTTAAGTGCTTCTCTGTAAAAGGTATGGATCTCATATTGAAGATATCTCAACAATGAGTAGGAATGAACTCAGGAGAGTTGATAGAAGAAACCTTTCTCTTCCTCTATAAAGAGGAAAAACAAGCTTCTCACACCCTAGTCAGGGCTATATTTAAAAGCACATTTGGTCTGAAAGACAGAGTGTGAAGGCAATGAGATAGACAAATCAGGGTCTAGCTAGCTGGCAATGGGCACCACATATTGTGGTCAGAAAGTGGTGGACTTGTGGTTAGAGAGATATTACAGTGCTTGCCTTGCATGTAGCATATCCAGGTTCAATCCCTGATATCACACATGGTCCCACAGGTGCAGCCATAAGTAAGCCTTGAGCACCACTGAGTGTGGCTAAAAATAAAACAAAAGTAATGGTGGAAATGCCTTGACAAAAACATTATTTTTTAAGGAATATGATTAATGTGGAAAAATAGTTTTAATTTTGTGTTTATGATTTTCATTGATTTAGCAATAGTGAATAAATAATAGTTAGCAAAATGAACCAAAAAATTATGTAGACTGTTGCAGAACTTGAGTTGAAAGACGTTAGCAATGCAGTCAGAGAAAAGTAGACTGATAGGAGAAATTTCTGGAGAAGTGACAGAATTTGGAGGAATATTGAGAATGACAGAAAAGAAGGTGATGGTAAACATGAACCTGGAAATCTGGCTTGCACAACCTAAAATTTAGAGAGCTATACTCTGAGAATACAGAAGCAAATTGAGAAGGAAAGAAGGATTCAGGAAAGAAGAGATGCCTAAGTTTCAAGATCTTAAAATATAGAATATTTATCTAATGCCATAATCAGATAGGTACATTATGTGAAAACTTATAAAACTTCAATGGAAGCATCTAAACATTGCCTCTTATCTCCAACTCATACCACAATTGCAAGAATATTAATATTTCTTTTGGATGCCTAGTTTACTTCACACAGGATTTTGAAAAATTCTACACGAAAATATAATATCCATACTAAAATATATCCAAATATTATAGATATGGAATGTGATACGCTTTCTAACAATTAAGTTTAGAGAATAAATAACAATTAAGTTATAGCAATTAAGTTTAGAGAATAAATGATTGATACAATAGGTAATGAACTGATTACTATTAAAGTGGAAATTCTTAAGATTATAATAATAAAAGCAGTGAACAATTGGCAATTATTTATGACTAGTAAGGGGGGAACAGATAAAGACCTTTTTTGCAGAATATATCTGTCTTCAGTCTTTCCTTTCTCTTTGCATTTCAAGTTCAATTTGACCATTCCAAAATTTTTATTTAACAGGCATTATTTTACATGCACATGCTACTGTTAATTTTTCTTAATTTTTTATAACAAATTATACCGACTGAGCTACTGATACTTTTCTAAAACTGTATTACCAAGTAGTGCAAGATAAAATAAAGTGAAAATTAGAAAATAAAGGGCAAATGGGTCAATTTTATTTTTCTAGGCCACACCCAGGCAGGTTGTTCCTGGCTAATCCATGGTTCTGCACCTAGGTGGGCTAAGGGGGACTGGTAGCTGGTGCTCAAACCCGGGTCAACCTGAATACAAGGCAAGCACCTTCCTCACTGTTCTATCTCTCCACCATGATAAATTCATGTTTCAAAAGAACTACTAAACTATAGAGTAGTTGTCTTGTATGTTTGAGTCACTGGATTAGATCCTAGCACTGAGAGAGGGTGAGATTAAGAAATATTATCTTAGCATTGGAGTCCAAATTGATAGAGTACCAAATATCAAAAGTGGCATCACTGTTGAGTAATATAAGAACCCAAGTAATTATAATTATTGTGAAGAGTTTATGTAGTTTAGGCATTCTTATTCATTTCAAACTTCCTATGGATTCCCTGTTTGAATCATGCCAGGAACATAATATACTTCATGTATATTTAGCATATAAAATTTCATGTAATAAATTAACCTTAGTTAGTGAATAATAAAGTAATATTTATTGATAATGGCCAGCTATTAAGTTTAGTAAGTGGTTTCTATCTACAATGAACACAGTACCAATACTCTGAGTTATAAAAACACATAAAAATATATTAAACACAGTCAGCACTAACTTATTTTTCCAACAAGAAGTTAAAATTTATTTAAAACCTTCAGCACCAATGAATTTCAGCATGGCTCCCCAGCCCCCCACCCATAAAAAATTAAAACAAACTTTTTAAAATAGGACTTGAGTATTATTTTGTATGACATTTAAAGTAAAATCAGAACTGGTTTTCAATATTTGTATGGAAGACCTTCCTAAGAATCCCTGATTCCATTAGTAATGATTGCATTTACATTATTCTCAGAATTTGCATGACTTATAAATCTTTGAGAATAAAAATACAAAGTTAATATATAAAAGTAAAGAAATTTAAGTTATATCACATGGGTGTATCATCAGTAAGTACCCCTTTAGTTGTTAGATTTTTTGCCCTTTAATTTACGACAATTTAAGCCAATGCTTCATTATTATTTTCATATTCTTCAATTTACATGAACATGTTCAAGTCTTATGAAGACTCAAGAATCATAATGAATATGACTGAGTTATTAAAAATACATGTTTTAAAGGAAACTTCTTAAAATCATCAAACATTAATATCACCAGTAGGTTAAAATTTTCAAGGTGATGTGAAGAGTTTAAAAATCTAAAATTAAATCTATGTTCTGCACTGAGTCACACAGCTATAAATTTCAATAAATTGGCAATTATTTAATATTTAATGTAATTCAAAAGTTTTTAGCTTTTAAGGAGTATTTTAAGGAGTATTCCCAAAATTAAAAATAAAAACCTTTTATACTTACATATCTGTATAATTTTATACATATATTTAGATAAAGGTGCTCAATTAGTCCCAGCATTTATTTTTAATGGTCTTATAACATCAGAGTAGTACACAAGCTGCTTATAGGTGAAATATCTTACTAAGTGATAAGAATATCTAAATGAAACATAAGCTTATAGAAATCTCCAATATATGAGTATCATGTCATATTTGAAAATGGCAAGTTATACTCCCTCATTAAAATAAGAACTTTTCATTAAATACCACCATTAAGATTATGGTCAAAGATTTAAACTTCAAATTAAGTCACATGATGTACATGACAGAAAAAAGATATCTTTCTATCTCTATCTTAAGGTTCTTAGAGTCATTAAAAATGTGACTGCATGTTATTTTTATATTTGTGACTTAATGAACTCTATTAGAAACTTATTTAATTACTCGAACATTTTAAAACTTTGCTTCAATTTCTGATTTTTTCATTGAAAGATAATTCAATGTATTAACATAGTTTTACCATTTTCTGATGTTTTTCCTTTACTTCTTCCTCAATAATATATTCTGATATCATATGAATCTAAATGCAAGTCTTTTTATAAACTCATTATATGTTCAAACTAGTTATGCTCTGGTGCAGAATAATAATGAATCAAATCTGTAAAAATGTAAAACTCAGACTTAAATGCGTGTGAAGACTTTTTATGTCTTGAATGTTAGACAATTCTAAATTAAAAGTATAATATACATAAAATATAAATACTGTCCCTCTCCTAAATATACATGATTACATACTGAGCAAACGAACAAAAAAGGAAATCACAACAATTGAAAGTCACAGGGCTCACGTACACATCGATTCTAAGACGAATAACAACAAAAGTAACTACAAAGTAGTATAGATAGGTAACCTGTGATGCATTCAAATAACACTGGATGCCAAGGAGGGAAAATGGGATAAGAAAGCACTGCTGTCCTTGGCCTCTGTTTGTCCAGTTCATTGCTCTTTGAATATGGATTCAAGCTACAGGGAACCTAGATAACATGCTAAGCTAATTAGTAGTGCAGTGGAAGAGAAGCATTTGAATATTGATGCATTTGCTTAAAGAGATGCATTTAAGCAAGTTTCACCTCATGCACACACCAGATAACTGAAAGACTGACGCAAATCAATGACAAGAATACCAAGAATATTATCATGCCAGGTCTATGAGAACCACTCCACCAGAAGATTTACCAAAATGCCTATATGTTCATTTTGTGGTGGTAATTCTGCTTCAGGAGGGGGGTGGGGAGAGGCTGTGGGGGCAGGAATGGGAGGGGGGAGGTAATAGAAAAGCTATGTGTCTGTAACCAATGGAAATCCACAAGCAAACTTTTAATGAGATAACAATTTGGGTAATAAAAAATCTAAAACAAGAAACACCCCTTAAGGGCTCATATCTCCCAAGAGAGTTTTTCAGTCAGCTGTGTTTTGCATTTAGTAACTAGCAGAGCATGCAGGGTGAAGGCGCGAGGGGAGAGAATGAGTGGAAACTGGGACAGGTTTGAACGCCACATTTGGGGGTTTACTGTACCTGTGTCCACATCCTTCACCTGTTGCCTGGCTCGAGCTGGCGGGCTCCACTTTGAGCTCCTGCAGGACCAGCCCTTTCTCGTGATGTCTTGTGAAGTCCATGCCTGGCACCTCTTCTTCTTCGATGGACTCCACGTAGAAGAGAGTCCTGGCTGGCTGTTGCGTGCCCTGCCCGGGTGCCCCCTGCAGCCTCGTGGCCACTGGCAGCAGGGTACCATTCAGTGGGTTGAAGGCAGAGGAGGAAGAAGACTGGGAGGATGCGGACGAGGAGGAGGAAGAGGAGGATGGCTTCTTCCAGAAGGCGCTCATACCGCTCTTCTCTTGGATTTTAAGCAGGCGACTCTGGCTGGGTCCCCAGTGCTCGAAGCTGCCAGTGCCATCCTGTTGCAGACAGCTGCCCCCGGCCGGGCCTCCAGAAGAAGGCGAAGGGTGGCTGAAGAGTTTCCAGCGGAGTCGCAGGATGTGCTTCACATCGAAGTCCTTTCGCCCAGAGCCCGACATCCTGCACTCCAGGCAGGCAAAGGGATCCGGCCGGGCAGTGGGAGAGGCCAGAGGGACCTGAGGTTGCAGCTGGAGCAGCCGGGCTCTCTCGGCTCGGGGTGGGGAGGTGGGGGTGGGTGCACCGTCGGGGCCAAGCGGCCGAGCTCCGCGCCACCCGGGAGGGAGCGCAGACGGCAGTGCCGCGCGCCTTAGCTGGGGTCAGACGTGCAGAGCCCACCCAGCCCAGCCCAGAGCCTAGGTGGCCACCGGGAGCCCAGGACTGAGATTCTCCACCCCGATTCCCGTTCCGCTGAATGCCAGGGACGGGTGGACCCTGATGCGAGCGAAGCTCCAGAGAGGGAGCTTGGTGCGCCCAGATGCTCCCGGGGCGGCGGGAGGGAAGCAGAATACACCTCCCTGGGCTGCAACCCGTGGCACGGTGTCGGTCGTGAAAGGTGCCGGTTCTCCTGTCCTTGCAGCTCAGAGTTCAGTGCCCGGAGAGCGCAGAGAGAGGAAGAGATAGCAAGAGCAAGAGAGAAAGCCCCAAGTCTCCAAGACGCGCGTCCCGCAGCCGCCTCGGTTGCACCTGAGTCCCAGCCGGTCCCTGGTTTCCCCAAGGATGTCCTGGCCGCTGGCCGGGTGTCCAGGAGAAAGTCAACTGCCTCCTGCAGAGGAGCTGTTGTTTTAGAGTCGGTTTGTAAAGGAGAGGAAGAAATAGTCCACAGAAAGACACGGAGGCAAACGGAAAAGCCCGCCTGGGAAGCTGTCAAGGTCCTCACACTCCAATTTTCTCTCTGCCCAGCGCCTCCTCCTCCCCGGTAAGTGACGCAGATGTGCGCTGGGGCCTATACGGAGAGATGGAGGGAGGGAGGGAAGGCTTCAATCTGCTTTATGCAACTGAGTCTGCTGCTTGCATTGTCCCCTTGCGTGGGTCCTGTCACCTTTTACAGCCCCCCTCCCACCCTAGCCTCCTTTCTCTCTACATTGTAGGCGGCAATGAAAGTAAAGCAAACAGGCATTAAGCTTTAGCATAAGTAAACGTCAAGCATGAATCACAATAGCGTGAACTTCATAGGCAGTTTGCAGGTTGCGGATTAATGGTTTGAATTATTTAATGAACTGCATCCTTTAACCTTTAGCCTGAGTTTCTCTGTAGTGAGAGGCTGAAGAAACAGGGATGCTGGCGTCAAAGTGTGATGATGCCACCATTTGACACGTACATTGTGATTCTGCTATTAATGCACTCAGGCATTGCTTCACCCTGGGGGCCAGAGGCACAGGACAGAAATTTGCAGATGAGCACCTGAGTGCCTGGAAGAGTTTTGCAAAATCAGTGCATTTGTTGTGCACCCTCCGTGTGAAAGCGTTTTGGAGTGTGAACCAAGAACTGGAATCAAGTGATAAAAGATAAATTCAAGGTGTAGCCTTGTAGTACATAAATCCTGGCATAAGATGCATGGGAGAATTTAAGCAATAAATAAATACATTCAAAGAATAGTATCTTGGGGGAAAAAATTTCTTATTCGGAGACAGAAGCTGTGTTTTCAGGTAAGCCGGTAAGAATGACAAAAATTGTGATTCCCTACTAAATAGGACACCTGAACATGTTTCATTTCTTCTCTATTATAGAACCATTAAAATAGAACCTAGTACTCTTTGCTGAAGGCAAAAGGAGTCAGGGACAGTATGTTCTAATTCAGCCTGGGATTTGCTTTTCCCATTCGTGAAATTCACAACTACAACCCCCACCCCCAACCAAAAATCAAAAACTTAAGTGCGCTTATATTACCATTCTGCGACACCATTATTAACATTATACTTCAACAGAAACAAAAGCAAAATTTCAAGTCCTTCCTAAACAGCGTGTACATTTAATGAAACAAGAAATTAAGCACGCAAATCCCTATTTTCAGAGGAAGGAAAAGCTCTGCTGTGCATTTCAAATATTGATTTATGTTACAACAGCTGGACTGCAATCCCCTGAGTCTTGATTTTTCTTTCAGTATTCAGTGTTAAAAAAAAAAAGTCCTTTAAAGCAAACAATGGTGACAGATCATTTTTATCCAAGTAAAGAATCAAGAAAGTGTTTCCCGTAGGGAACAAAACAGCGCATGAAATTACACATCATGAACAGGACCAAGAAAACTTTCCATCAGAGGTAATATAGGCATCTGAAGTGCATAGAACTAAATGACTTCTACAGAAAGTAGTGATTTGTGGATTATCCAACATGACATAATTTTTAACTTTCTTAAAGTAAAATAAAATGGTATTTGTATAAATGCAACAAAACATTTTACATTAATAAGTATCATAGTCATTCAAAACTATAATCTAAAGTTCACTAATATTGTTATTCTAAAATTCTATTTTGTTTCTCCCTTATATTTATCCACTAGAAAATGTTCATGCAATGCATATATTATTATTGCAAGCTTATAAATTTTTTATTTAAAACTCAGTAATTTACGATGAGAAAGATACGTACTATTGGGATCTATTATAGAGAAATGTTAGTTAAAACCATTACGGCATATATAATAGCTAACGATTAAATATCTACTTGTGAATCTTGTGATATTTAATCTGCTCAAAACACTGCATAATAAAAAATAATTATTTTTTCAGAAGAAGATATTTAAACCAATTTTTCTTAATTATCAAATAAAATATTTAGGGTTTGGGAAATAAAATGTGCATGTTAAAGTGAAATAATAAAGTATGATCTATTTTAAAGTTAATTATTAATGCACAGTTATTTGAAGAGGAAATGAGAAAGAAGTGGTATATAAAGACACAGATGATGTGATCAAAAATAATATATGCCATTATGATTTAGTTTTACGTATTAGAGTATGTCTTTGAAATCACCTTATTCATTTATATCTTAATAAGCTTTCTGTAATTAAGTACTTGCCATATACTGGGTTAAATAGCAAAAAATGAAAGTATGTCTACATGAGAAAAAATGGTTATAGCTAAAAAGATAAATTATCTAGTCAAAATGAATTGATAAATAATGTATGATCTATTTTAATGTTTGTTGTTATTAAATTTATTAAATTGATCAATCTTAAAATCTAAGATTTAAGGTAACCAAGTTTATAATTGTAAAGAATATTTATATAATAACAAAAATTCACTACATAAGAATTCTAAGAACCATGCTTCACTTTTGTGTTAAATATAAAATCAATTAAATTATTTTAGTACTATTATTTATGTGAAACTATTATTTTCAAATGAGTGTCCTTATTTTTACAATAGTTTCCTGATACAATCTTAGCAAAATTGGTTAATTTGGATACTGAAAACCTGAAGAGTGTTCAAGAATTTTGTGTAATGTCCACTCTCCAATGTCCTCCCGTTGTTCATCGATTTATTTGAGCGGGGACCAGTAAGGTCTTACAACAAATTGTGAGACTTGTTACTGTTTTTGGCATATCAAATACGTCAGGGGTAGCTTGCCAGGCTTGCTCTGGCTCTCTAAGAGGCCCGGGGAAAGCAAATCCAGGTTGGACTTGTGCAATCATTTCTTCACATTAATGTTAAATCAACAGGGTACAAAATATACAATATAGGTAAATTACAAACATAATGTAAATAAATATAATATACTGAAAGTCCTTACAATCCAAATATTTAAATAATAAATAGAATTTGATTTAAATTTAAGCATTTTCTGGACCGCAAACATTTCTATTAAACATTCTCTAAACATATATAATTATTATTACACTTATGTAAAAAAAGTGAACTCTGATTCTTTAATCTTTTTGACAGTCTTTCTATAGTATCTAGTCCATTTTTTCTACATAATAATATTCAAGAAAAGCATTTAAGTTCTTAATGATAATTCAAGTTAAAAGGTCATGCCTTTGGGTCTCTCCGATGTACTTTTGTACTTGTATTTTTAACTTTATTGCAACATATCTCATTACATTATTAAAATGCATCATTGAAAATGAGTGAATAATATCTAAAGTAGCACCTAACATTCTGGATATGGAAATTAAATCAATAATTTTAATGGAATTTTATTTTTAAAAATAATTGAAATATAGTGCTGTGAAACAATGTTCATTTATGACATTTCTAATGTCAATAACTTAAAACAAATATGAATAGTCCACAGTCTATTAATATTCATTACAGTCTAGGTACACTTTAGTTATATAGAAATTAAGTGACTATTTAGTAAGTATTTATAGGTGTTAATTAATCCTAAGGGGCTATTTTAATTCACTCCTCTGATATGTTTGTTTAACATTGTGATTTTAAATAGTTCCATATGGTTAGTTTTACTGCTCAAAGCAGTATAATATGATTAAAGGATATTTTATTCTTATATATTTTTAAATTTTAAAATAGAGGTCAGAGAGATAGCACCAGTGGTAGGCACTTACCTTGTAGTCAACCTGACTTGGGTTTAATTCCCAGCACTGCATATATGATTCCTGAACAAAGAGCCAAGAGTAGCCCCAAGGTCCATGTGTCACAAAAGGAAAACAAAATAAAATCATCAGCAACAAAATATTAATTTGCTTATATACAATAGTTTATAACACTATAAACTTAGGTATGTAAAGTTCATCTATTTAGATGTGTGTGTCTTACCTCATGCACTGGACTGGAGCGATAGCACAGCGGTAGGGTGTTTGCCTTGCACGCAGCCAAAATGGCTGACCCAAGTTCAATTCCTCCGCCCCTCTTGGAGAGCCTGGCAAGCTACTGAGAGTATCTCACCCACACAGCAGAGCCTGGCAAGCTACCCAGGACGTATTCAATATGCCAAGCACAGTAACAACAAGTCTCAAGATGGAGACGTTACTGGGCCCACTCGAGCAAATCGGTGAACAATGGGAGGACCATGACCGTGATGACCATGACCACATGCACTACCAAAGTTCTAAGGCCATATTATTATAAAAATAATAATTCTCTTCCCATCATACTATGCTATATCTTTCTCTTCTTCCCCTCTGTAACTTCCCTAGTTTCACATTCATCTTGGTTGTGTTTTGACAGGTAATTTGCTTTAAAAA